AGCATCAAAAGTCAGCTGATCTGTCAAATGTGGAGAGCGGAGGGGGGCAGGGATCAGGTCCGCCAGCCCAATCCAGTTCCCTTTGTCTTGCTATATAGAGCAGGACTGGGAAACCTGTGGCCCTCCAGATGTTTTGGACTTCAACTCCCATCAGCCCCAGCTAGCATGGCCAGCAACATCTGGAGTGCCTGAACTTCCCCAGCCCTGCTGTTGAGGAATCTGAATAGCTATTAAACTCCTGCTTGGGTGAAATTGTTGCAAGTTCCAAACGCTCCTAGATCCTCTCCAGTTCTGTATATAAATCTGAAGGTTCTCCCCCACTCCAATGGTACGTCAGCTATCAAAACTCTGATACATTGAATTAGGGAAATAATTCCATTTTATTAAAAAAATTGAAAAATGCTATCTTACAAAACCTGAAAGCTTAAACTCTCAGAGTCCCAGCCAAGGCACTAAGCTGTCATAATGTTCTATGATGCTAATAACACATACATTTCTGGAGCATTTCTCTTCCCTTGAGCTGTCACAAGACTTAGCGCCACCCCCACCTCCCCCAAACTGAGATGAGGTGGTTGGGGCAGGGGCGAGTGGAAGAGTACTTTTTAATAAGAGGTGGGTAGATTCTGGAACTGGATCACAAATGGTCATTGAAAGCAACCTCCTTTGCTGACTTTATATTTAGCTAAGTCGAATGTGCCTTGCTGTAAAGTATAGAATTAATCAGTTAACTTGAGCGACAATGTCAAAGAGTCCTAGACATATATATCTTACGCAACCTTTCTTGGGAATTCTAATAATAAAGCCATGCTCTTGAACTCCATACAAAGAACAGCCTTTCCTAGCTCTGCTTTGTGTTCCCTTTTTCCTCAGCTTTTTAAATTCAACTTTGGCTGATGCCAGACGAATCGAGGTTGTTTTCAGATGACATATAAACGCTGCCTTTTAGCACGGGGCCAAATTGAAAGTCTAGGCATTTCTTTTTATTTTTTGCACCAGAGTTAGCTAACTATATCCTTCCTTGATCTCGACATATTGACCTTTGGTTTGTGTGCCTAGGGACCTGGTCTCAGCCCTTTCCATGTATTTAGACGTCATAACATTAAAGGAGGACCTTGAGTGGAGATCAGAGTACTTGGATTTGCCCTCCTGTTTCCCACAGTTCAGTACTACTCCTTTCTGTAGTGGAATAATGTAACCACAACTTCAATGGTCTACACGGGAAATAGGGTTGGGCAATAGCTGGTTTTCAGCATCGTGACATGCCACCAGCTAAATATCGCAATATGTTACCAATATATCACGATGTCTGAAATATGTAGGGACGCTGGTGGCACTGTGGTCTAAACCACAGAGCCTAGGGCTTGCCAATAAGAAGGTCGGTGGTTCGAATCCCAACGATGGGGTGAGCTCCCGTTGCTCAGTCCCTGCTCCTGCCAACCTAGCAGTTTGAAAGCACAAAGTGCAAGTAGATAAATAGGTACCACTCCGGCAGGAAGGTAAATGGTGTTTCCGTGCACTGCTCTGGTTTCGCCAGAAGTGGCTTAGTCATGCTGGCCACATGACCCAGAAAAACTGTCTGCAGACAAACGTCGGCTCCCTCGGCCAGTAAAGTGAGATGAGCGCCGCAACCCCAGAGTCGTTCGTGACTGGACTTAACAGTCAGGGGTCCTTTACCTTTTTTATGTAGAGGCATTGGCTGGCTTCGGGTTTCCCTCACATTGTGATTTTTGCATAGCACACACAAACATAATGATTCACAATATATTGCCAGGTCAAAAATTATGAAACCAATAACACTATATGGACTACAAACCAGTTTGGGACAATATATCAATCTATCACCCAGCCCTAGAGGGGAAATGGTGAAGCTTATTCATTGCTAGTTAGGAAAGGCAGAAATCAAGGTAGACTTTGACCAGAGCATGCAGGGAAACTTAAAGTCAAGCATTCAAGGCTGTTCTTCGCAAAAGAGGACCAGCTGATTGTGTGACGGCTAACAGCTGTACAACAGTTTATTGCCACAAGGCGTAATCCCAACAGCAAGTCCTCCTGAAACAAACGGGAATTGTGCCAGAGCCCGTGTGCTTTCAGCTATCCCGTTTATTTCAGTGGCTTGGGTAGTGCCCTGTGGCAAGCTCCCCTGCTCAAGCTCCATTGAAATGACTGGAAACGCTAGAAGACCATGAACTCTTCCACGATACCCTGGGGCAAAGGGTTTCTTTCTGTGAGTTAGTGCAGTGGTGGCTGATATAGTTGCCTTTTCTGTTAACGGAGGGGGGGGCATACCTGCATCCATTTTGTGGTCCTGCTCCCCCCCCACTCTTTTAGATGTTGCAGTTATTTTGGGCACGGCAGCCATGTTGCATTCCGCTGTGCCCTGCCACGGCAGCCATTTTGCGTTGGGCCATAAACACCGCGGCAGCCATTTTGTGACCGGCGCCCACAGTGGGTGGCCGCTGCCTGAAAGGGCCCTGGCAGATTCTGCGATCGCATCCTCCTGCGTGCATTTGGAACAGGAGAAAACTATGAGAGGAGTCTGAGAAGAGGCAGGGCAGTATAGAAGCAGGCACTGAGAGCTGCCTACACCAATGGGGGTGGCCTGTGAGTTGGCTGAATCTGAGCCCCCCCTCATGGCGATGCTTAGACCCTGACGTCGAGGACCCCTTGACGGTGAAATCTTTCAAGGAAGAGGTTGTCCCTGCTTGACCCAACAACATGTGATGGTAATTTGCAATGGCGCCTCATGGGTTTTGCAAAAAGAAAAAGTTTGGAAGGGCTGGTACCACCTACCTTGTCAGCAGGAGATTAAGCAGCTTACTGTAACGGTTTAAGGTAGGTCACATCTGAGATGGTAATTAAAGTGAGTTATTCTCAGCAGCAGGCTGACGGGACAAGCACATTTCAAGCCACTGCAGGCTGAAGTGGGGCAGGCAGCGGGGAATAATCTCTGGAAAATTTGAAGGCAAGCTTAGAAACGCCTGTTATGGTGGATTTTTTTTCTGCTGGCTGGCACCTGGAAGAGACAAAGGTTAGCTGCAGGGGGTTGCTCCGTCAAGAGGAAGGGCTTAAATTCATGTTGCCAAAGGATTAGCTGAGTTTGAAATGTTATCTTGCCTCTCCCCGACATCTTTTCTCTCTATATATAAATAAAAAAATCTCCTTCCTAGAAATTGTCGTAGGTTGACAGTTTGGGACAAGAACACATTTTACATTCTAAAGTTCAAACACTTAATTCCTTCCTGGGAGACTCATAATACCTTCAAATGAAGAACATGGAAAGGAGGAGTTTTCTGTTGGATTTTCTGGTACTCCTTCTGCCTCTTGAAGAGAACAAAGTGGTGCCCCGATGGCTTCTGATCTGAGATCCACTGTGAGCCCCAAACAAGTAAAATAAGACCCACTCCTGAAATTTATTAATAAGAATGTGTTGGTTCAGAGGTAATACTTAACCATAATTAGTGTTACGTGAATGAGCCTAGGTAAACCCTGAGTTTACACACCCACCCACACCTATATCTTCTCCGGTACAGTTCAGATGCAAGGAGGTCTGAAAGGTTTCGTTTCTGATTTAGACCAACCGCAGCTTGCCATGTTGCTTAAGTCCCAACACACTATAGTTCCTCTTAGCTATGATCATTGAATGGCATAGATATACGCCACCTGTTGAGTTTTTTTGGTACGGTTGGTTGCTGCATTTGGGAAGGACATTCCTCATAGGTTAGTTTGGCCAGTGACTCCCCTCCTGTAAAACGCAGCTTGGCTCACTTGCCTGAGCTCTTTTGCTATTTCATTCTGCTGGCATTGCAGCACCTCTTTTCTCTGTTTGTGCCACCCTTGGTGGATTGGGTAAATTGATGGGGGGGGGGCTGGTGGGCGGATGGCCTTATATGCAAAGATTCTGCAGAGAACTTGCCTTTATGTTTAAAACATAAGCCTAGAGAAGTTTCAATTTGTAAATATCTTCTCGGGGGATGCAGCAACATAAAAAAGCACCTTTTAAAATGGAGTCTATAACACTTATTGCACTGTTATTTATATATTATGCATGATATGCAGAGATAATGTGTATATTATATCCCACGTTTCTTTAGTCATAGAAATGAAGGTGGTTTGTGCTTTGTGTTCCACTGTGGTTTTCCCTCCAGGCAGTGACCAGTTCAGGACTTGCTTAGCTTCAAGAAGGTGGCAGCATCACATGCCTTCAAACCATGACCTGGGAATATTGGGGGAGGATTGTACTTTAGGGGCAGGGCACCTTGAGGACACCGTGTTTGGATAAACTTTGCCAAAGGAAAGGGAAGTGCCATAGGATCGTAGAGTTGGAAGGGACCATGAGGATCATCTAGTCCAACCCCCTGCAATGCAGGAAACCTTTACCCAATGTGGGGCTCGAACCCACGGCCCTGACATTAAGAGTCTCGTGCTCTATAGCTCAGTGGTGGAGCACCTGGGAATCCAGAAGGTAGCAAGTTCAATCCCTGACATATCCACCTAGGACTGGAAAAGACCCTAGGAGTTATTGGGTTGTTTGTTTTTATTTTGATTATATATTTTGTGGTTTTATATTTTGATTTTGTTCTGTGAACCACCCTGAGACCTCCGGGTATAGGGCGATATATAAATTCAATAAATAATAATAATTATAACTGCTGCCAGTCAGTGTAGACCAAGGACAGGTCCCTCCAGATGTTTTTGACTACAACTTCCATCACTGCTTACCATTGATCACTCTGGCTAGGGCTGATGTGAGTTGTAGTCCAACAACATCGGGAGGGCCACACATTCCCCATCCTTATATTGAGCTAGGCAGATCAATCATCTGAACTGGTAGAAGGCAGATTCCTATGTGCCAGAAAGTAGGGTGGGGTGTGAGTGTATTATTGCTACTATTTCCCAGTGGAGGGAGAGTTTGGACAAGTGACCTCTGCTTCTTTCCCATGCCTCCCTCTCCTTAACACTTTCTCTCTTTGTTGTCAAGATGGCTGGCGGACGACGTGGGGATGGTGACAGCCAGAGGCCCTGCTGAAGCCGCAAGAGCCATGAAGAACCAGCCCCCTTCAGGGAACGCACCCGCAACACCCGCCAGCGCCCCTTCCCGATGGCACCGGCGCAGGTTCCGGCGCAAGGCCCCCTCCGAGGTGACCGTGAAGGGCCAGCTGCGCATGCGCTCTACCTCGGGAGCCTTTGTGATGGTGGGCGTCTCAGTGGTGTTGGTGGGCATGACCATCGCTGTCATCGGCTACTGGCCTCACCGTGCCAGGTCCGGAGGAGGCAGCCGGCCGGGCAACGCCAGCGCCACCGATGAGATCAAGAAGGAAGTGAAGGCCTTGGCCCACCCCCGCCCCTTACCTCACAGCGAGAAGCTGAAGCTCATTGGGCCTGTCATCATGGGCATCGGCCTCTTCATCTTCATCTGTGCCAACACCATGCTATACGAGAACAGAGACATGGAGACCCGCTTGCTGATGCAGAGGGAGCTCTACTCCATGAGTCTGAGGCTCCCGCAGGACACCAGCCAGGCAAGCAGCTACTTTCAGAGGAGGCCTACCTTGTCCTCTGTCCAGGCGAATGCAGACTGCGTGGAAGGTTGCTATGAGGTGGACCTCTCCTCCAGTGGCTTCCAGTCTTGCTCCAGCCCAGCCGCCAAGTGGCCCAACGCTTACGACTCAAACAGGCTACAGGCCACCACCCAGTTCCACAAGAGCGTCTCGCCGTCCCTTTCCCTCCTGAGCGTCCGCTCGGATTCTGGCAACGCCGCGCCGGATAACCGTGGCCTCCCTTTTGCCCACGGTGCGGAGTCAGTCATCTCAGCCGTCAATGCCCTGTCTCTGCCTCTCATTAAACTCAACAACTGTCTCCTTGAAAGCCAGCAAGTTTCTCGAGCAGCCATCCGGGACTTGGAAGGCAATTGCCTCCGCTTGCCAGAGGAGAAGGACGAGGTGTTGAGGCTCTCGTGGACCGTCCTCCCGGGGTGCAATGCCACGGCTCCCCGGAGAAGCGAGCTCAGAGGCAGCCACGTGGTTATCGATATGGATAATGTTGAGCCTTCCTCAGCCACCTCGGTGGAAAGACTCCTAAACCCTGAATGCACAAAGAGGGGATTCAGCTCAGACACTCAGATCCCTAATGCGGGTCACTCCAAGTCCCTGGATCTCGGCCAGCCAGGGGTAGTGTTGGTGGCGCCAGTCAAAGACAGGAAGCACAGGAGCTGGCCTAGACTCGACCACATTGGCCTGGTCAACTATGCAAAACTGGAAAGCCGGGGCGAGTCTTCTGATAGGCTGTTGGAGCCAGCGAGGGAGCCTATCAGTGGCTTGAGCAGGGAGCCTTCCCAGGAGGTTGTTGCAGAAACGGGTTGCGGAAACTGACTCTGCATTGGAAGACTGCGTGTGCTGTTGGGATTTGCCATGTCATGCCTGGCGTTGCCAGGAGCAAACGTGTATATAGATATTTTGAAATGAATGATTTGCAGCAGCGGCTGCTTAGTCAGTCTGCCAGTGGCCAAGCCCAAGTCTCCTGCCAGAGGAGAGATGCCTTTGAGATGCTGCTGAACAGATTGATTTCCTTCTCAAGGGCCTGTTCAATTCTTGCCTTACAAAGATCCCCTCTTCAACTTCCCCCACTCTCTGTGTGAAAAGAACTATTTGCCTAGAAATGGAAAGAAGACTTAGGATTGCAATGGGGCGGGTGGGGGGGGTTGGTGGGGGCTGGTACTCCTCACTACACCCAAACCCACCCAACCTCCCTTGGAAACACAGGTGGTAAGATTGCGGGGAAGAACGGGACGATTGCTAAGGTTTCAGAAACAATAAACTGGTGCCTCCTAAAATAGCACATGTCTAGTTTTAAAAGTCACGAGATTATAATTTTTATACACAGATGCTAGTTTCAGAGCTCTTTGGGGCTAAACATCAGACCTTGCCTGCGGTATTTACCCCACCCCACCCCCGGTAGTAGAACAATTTTTATTTTTTTTAAAAGAGATTCTTATTGTTTTATTGCCAATCTCATGTTCTGGGCTCTGAGAAAGCCAAAACATTTTAAAGTCAAAATCTTGCAAGTTAATTGGTGACTTTTTTCTCCTTCCTGCCTCATCCTCTGTCCTGAATCACTGGGTATGTACATGCCAAACAAGGTTATTAAAAAAAAAAAGTTTGCCTCACTGCTTTGAAGACCTCGAGTCGTTTCTTATGCCTTAAACATTGTTTGGGATTGCTCTCTTTCCGAGGGAAATTTATCAGCTGATTTCAGCTAGCCCTTGACCAAAAAATGATAAATAAGCTTTTTTCCCCTCCATGGATGGTGAGAATGTTTAGGGTAGGAGACCATCTATTTCCTTAACAACATCTGCAAACTGATCTGAAGGCTCAGAGAGATGCTTCTTCCCAACCACTCCAGCTGGGAACCCCAGTGCCTCAGCACACACACACACACCCAAGTGCCGCTTCCCAAAAGCTGGAGAGAGAAAACTCTTGCAGTTCAAATATAGCCTGAGAACGGGATTCGGGCTGCAGGCATTTCCCATAACTATGAGTGGCTGTTGTGATGCAGATGCTGTAGTACAGATGCCAGGCACCGAGCCAGATGTGAAGAGGAGGCCTTACGGGGCTGGGTGGTGGAAGGCAGAGAATCACTGCCAAACAGCTGAGACCATAAATACAGGTAGCCAGATCCGTTTCAAGCAATCTCATTGTGCGGCTTCTTAATAAGACTTTGTAGCAGCATCCTGCCTGTATGGGTTTTCCTTGTATCTCCACAAGTGAGAGGGCTAGAAACTTACTTTAAAAACAAGGAGAGTTAACAATTCATAAGAACATCAGAGGGTGCTTTATAGCAAGTCTGACCATGGGGTCCATCTAGCTCAGTATTGGCTACACTGACTGGCAGCAGCTCTCCAGGGTTTTGGATAGGGTGTCTCTCCTAGCCATAGCTGTCAACCTTCCCTTTTTTTGTGGGAAATTCCCTTATTCCAGCGCCGTTTCCTGCTGCTTCCCACTGCTATCCCGGATTGTTAGATATCCCGTAGACTGTCCCCGGGACAGGTGAGGCTGCTGATCCCTTATTTTCAAATCTGAAAGTTGACAGCTATGCTCCTAGCCCTTCCTGGAGGTGCTGAGGATTGAACCTGGAACTTCCTGCATGCAAGGCAGATGCTCTGCCGCTGAGCTATGGGCCCTTCCATACATCACCCTGGAAATCCTATGTAAGGAATAAGACTTATGCATGTCCAAAGAGAGAGAGCGAGAGAAGCATCTGATTTTCATTTTGCTCCCTTTGATTCTGAATGTCTTGCCACATTCCTTTCACATTTTTTCCAGTTCTCTGCCACGACCTCAGCTCCCCTCCAATACTGGGCGTGTGTTAAGCTGAACTTTTTGCCTCCTGGTTCGTTTCAAGAGGAAGTGACCCGAAAAGGAATACTCCTGCTGTTCTGACCCCACAGGCGAGCCTTTAAATAGAAAAATAAAGCGGTGGTGCAGGCTGCAAGCCAACACATCCCTAACCTGGGAATAAGGCCCAGGGGGCTTACCTCTGAGTAAATATGCATCAGATTGCCTTGGTGACTGATCAACGAGAAGTTAGAAACAGGGACATTCCATTGACATCAGTGAGATTACAGGATCTTCTTCTGTGTACTTGCAGCAAGGTTTGGGAGCCACCTACCTGCAGTTGCACCCACACCATGCAGAGAATCCTTAATGTGGGCTAGAAACTTAAAAGCGCAAGTTTTGTCTTGCTAGATCATCTCGGTGTGTGAAATCCAGCTGCCGACTCCTCCAACACTGCAGACAACAGGTAGTCCAAAAAACAAAACAAAAAAATCACCACCTATAGATCTGTGGTTCCCAACGTGGGGCACACACCTCACAGGGGGGCAATTTGATTTTTAAGGGGGGGCAATTTGAGAATGAGTTATTAACAGTGAATGGCCTTTTAGGCTTCCTCCACGTGAACAGGAATTCACTTTTTGAATAATAAGAATAAAAAACGGGGGGAGGGGATCAGGATTTTAGAGATGCTTAGGTGGGGCATAGCCAAGAAAAGGTTGGGAACCACTGCTTATAGATAAACAACCAATCCAATAGCCCATATTCTCTTGCTGATGGGTGGGGTCAGACTGACCTCACACATCCAGGGCAAGCAAAGTGACTTCCCCGGGGTGTGAGCCTGGCCAGTGTGTATGGAAGTCCTGGTATGCCCAGACAAGGCCACCCGGGCAACAAGACAGGCGGACCCTTGTGCTGGACAGGGACAGGGTGCGGAGAGTGCTCACCCTCTTCCCACCCAGCGGCGGTGGCGAGGGCAGGGTTAGTGTGTTCTGTCCTGCCCTGGGTGCCGGCAAATAGTGCTACGCCACTGCTCTCCTCCATGAATTTGTCTGATCTTTTAAAGCCATCTAGGTTGGTGGCCATTACTGCTTCCTATGGGAATGAGTTCCACAGTTTATGACTATGCACAGCATAGCCTTCCAAAAGTCAGCTTCCTTGGAAGTGCTATGAGTGCTATGAAGCACGGCCATCCGTTGAAATTCACACTTCTGAACTTAAAAATGCAGACATTTGACCAAGAAATGTGTGCAAAAATGCATATGATGCAGTAAAGGGCATATAAATCAGTGAAGGTATATATATATCAGTGAAAATTAACAGACAGAAATGTATTGCATTATAAGAAACCACTTTGCAAAAATGTGCATATTTGGTAAGACTGCATACAAAAATGTGCAGAAATTCACACAAGAGCAGAAATTCACACTAAAATGCTGGCAATTTTTTCTGTGGACTTTTAAAATGCAAAATTTTCTGGCTGATTTATAAATGTGGAGAACGGAGCTTAATACAGTGGTACCTCTGGTTACAAACTTAATTCGTTCCAGTGGTCCGATCTTAACCTGAAACCATTCTTAACCTGAGGCACCACTTTAGCTAATAGGGCCTCCCGCTGCCGCTGCACCGCCGGCGCACAATTTCTTTTCTCATCCTGAGGTAAAGTTCTTAACCCGAGGTACTACTTCCGGGTAAGCGGAGTGTGTAACCTGAAGTGCTTGTAACCTGAGGTGTTTGCAACCCAAAGTACCACTGTATAAGAAAAATGAGAAACTGAAATAGATTTGTCTATCCTTATCAGTTGCTCATACAGCCCTTCATTTTCATTTTCCCTCTTTTAAATGGCAACATCACTTTCCCATCCTTGGGGCAACCTGGCCAATTTCTGTGAACTTTGTCCCTTTGGGAGGAGGGCTTCCTCCCAGGGATCGCTCCTTCTAATATTGATTTCAGCAGGTGAGTGCCGAAAGGACCAAAAGCAGAAAAAGGAGAGGGAGAGATATCTGAATGCTAGGCAAATCACAGCACTGGAGAGGTATCAACAATAAATGGGGGAGGGGGTAAGGGAGAAACAAGCAAAAATGGAACTGGAGATTCATGGGAGCTGGCAGACTGTACAAGAGAACACTACACTTCAACATTTTGCTGCAGCCCCAGCTTCTGGTTCTTTGAATGCTGTGCCTTCCAGTTCTCCAGCACTGCGACAAACATGGGGGTGGGGGGGCCGGGACATAAAACACAAAACTATGGTGATTTTATGAATATCCCACCGGCTCACCACAACACACTCCTTGTTTACAGCAAGATCTACCACATAGTGCTGCAGCCGTAATGTGGAGATGGGATATCATACAGCTGAACAGGATCATGGCTAGCTCAAGAGTCATGGCAAGGGGAGAACATCCATTTTATTTTTAAATCAGCAAAGCCCGTTTCAATTCATTTTAATTTCCAACCAGCAGCGAAAACCCTTCCCCTCCTGGTAGCTCAAGAGTTGGCTTAGGTAGTTGGGCAGGTTGCCAGCAGACTTGGGGGCTTCGCTTTACTCCATCTCGAAATCAAATAAAAACAGCGCAGTCAAAACACAGGAGTCCAGCTGCATGGTTGCTTGAGAGTATAAACCACTGTAGAAAGAGGTTTGCACTCTTTTCTGTGAAGAAGCCACAGCTGCCTCCTTATTGCCTTCCCACCAAGGGCCCCCAAACACATCTTGTATCTGTATACCTTTAAATATCAAAACGCCGGATGTGAGTACCAACAGGACCCAAACCAGGGCCAATGAGAAGTGGAGGGATGTATCAGGTTGAAAAAGTGGGGAAGGGGAACTAGGGGAGCAGCCCCCCCCCCAAAAAAAAACACCTCAACCTACCGGTCATGAGAACTGAGCATGCTCAGTGACTACAAAATGCTTCTTATCTGTTAGGGGAAAGAAACAGAAAATCAAAGGGAAGGAAATCATAGAATTGAAGAGTTGGAAGAGACCATGAAGGCCATCTAGTCATGTGGAAACCAAGCCTTATAAGCAGGGATCAGCAACCTTT